CTTGAAGAAGCAGCAAATCTTACAACGCTCACTAATGTGAGCCTCGCCCAGACGGCGAAGACACAGAGTGTGGATCGCTTCTGGACATAGAGTTGCGACAAGAGTCGCACGACTTGAAGCCTGGGCCACGGGGCATGCCCCGAGCCAGGGACTAACGAAGAAAAGTTCAGCAAAGAAGCAGTTCAGTGAACAAGATACCACTAAGGCTATAAACGCTGCAGCCAAGGCTGGAGCAAGTTCCGACTACCTTCACTGGCGGCAAGAAGGAACTGAGGGTGGGGAGTGCATGCAGCCCCCTTTATGGCGCAATATGTCGGCGCCACTCCAGGGGTCACAGCAGTGCTCCCCCATTACGGATACTGCTAAGGGAAAAACTGCCGGCACCGGTGCACGGGGCAAGTACGTACACCTAAGCAACCACTCGAAGAAGAATGTGAATTTAACAGGCACTCTTTGAATCCCCTGTAATATCAAACACAGCAATGTAAGAATACATATGAATTTTGTCATCTAACAGCAACAAGAACAGTATTCCTACATGAAGTGTTGGCTCCCAATTCAATCCCAATTTATGTTAAATGTTTGATAAAGTACACAGGAAATTAGATACAAGTCCCATTAATGACAATAGACCTTGTGTAACTCAAACATTCATTATGTATTGCATTGAAAATGTTTCCCTCTGAAGCACCAGTTTCCTTTTATTCTTATATCTATAAAACATTTTGATATCATGGAGTCTACTTGACCTGCTGATTACCCTCCAGTTTACACTATTGTTATGAATACAAAGAGAAAAACAATAGCTGTTTCAGCCTAAATGTCATCAAAATGAAATCATTTTTGCTCATGACTATTACCACAATTGGAATATTGTTAACTTAAACAGACAGAATGAAATCAACTTTGGAAGTAAGTAAGTTGCAAAGACATTCCCTAAACAAAAGGAAAAACAATGAGAACAAGGATTAAAAAAAAAGACTTCCAAAACAACTATATGCTTTTTTTTTTTAATTAAAAACAAGAGGGCTGCCAAAAGAAAAATCTTGAAACTGTGTTTCAAAGGAAAGATCATCCCACATCAATTACATTGTTCTGTGGGGAAAAAAGACCTACTCAACTTCTAAAAGGGTTGGTGACGGGGAAAATTTGTATAGCTGCAATTAGAATTTTCCAACAGTGAGGCTATATCACTTCAAATAAATCTGTGTGGTAAATCAAAGAAAAGGCAGAGGAAAATAATTATCCATTTTTAGTGAACCATCTAATGCTGTTGTCTGCAAACAGATCAAATATCAGAAGTTATATCAGATAAAGAATGTATCAAAAGAATTAGTTTCCACTTCACAGTTTTGGAGTCTAGTTTTACAGCAACACATGAAATGCAATGTTTTCTCCTTCTCAAATTAAATATTAACTGTTTGTTTTGCTTTTAATATGAGAATGTCATCTATTAATAATGGACAATTGTCTTCAGTATCACTGTAATATCTATCTTTATTAGAAATAGCTCCTTATCACCGAGTGTAGATCTGCAAAATTTAGTTAACATTCAGTTCTACAGAATATCAATACAAAATATGCCATAGTTTTATTATCTCAAGTTTAAAATGATAACTTTCATTTGCAGAGACAGACATATGTATCCACAAAAAAAGCATTAGAAAAGGTCCAGCACAGGGCATTCAGGGGCATAGAGAGACAGAGCATGAGAAATTTGAGAGGAATATACATTTGACTGATCAGAAAATCAGACACAAATACTGGCACCTGCTTCCTTTCTTTCTCTTTAAGTAACCAAGGAAATTATATGGATAAAACTGCTTTAATGCAATTTTATGGTTGAGAGGCTGCATACAGAAAACTCAGGAAATTCAAAGTTATGGTTCCCACAGCAGTTGTAACCTGGCCACATTTCATATGCAAAGAAGTTAAAGTTACAATATGTTGTTCTGTATTTTAAAATATTACAAATACTCAAGTGAGAATGTGGGAATCATAACTCAATTTATTAGCTTGTGTATGTGAAATCTCAACCATAAATTCGCATTAAATATTGGATAAAGTATATAATATCAATTAAGAGCAATTTGTCCACTCAATTTATGAATGTTCTGCTCTGCCCTTTTATGGTTGTTGCAGAAATATGTGAGAAGAACATTAAGAATGTGAGAATACCGCATGCTATGTTCACACTTGACTTTTTATACTTGAATTTTTAGAGAAACTTCCCTCTTTTATAGATAGTACAGATTAGTGAGAGAGCACTGTATTGTCATCTGTTAGGTGAAGTGCCGGTATTAAAGCATATAATCTCTGAATTCTAGTCCCAGCTATAACAATAATTATCTCTCTGGCTCAATACCGTAACCTCTCTGTCTCAGCTTCTCCATCTGTGTGTGTTCAGAAGACTACACGTCAGCTTTGCAGTTGTGGGGGGTTCTTTTTTGTGGGTCCTGGTAGCCCTAAGCAGCTTTTACCTCAGTAACACACACTAATCCATTTACAGAACACAATTTTATTTGCTTTATGCTCTTTGCTTAGTCTTTCAATATATTTAAATGAACAAACAAAAAATTAAAAAGCTTATACATATGAAATTCTATTTGAATACTCTCAGCTAAGGCACAAAAACAACAGTCATCCTTGTTGGAGGGAGATGTGCATAAGAAAAGCACGAAGAACAATATCTTGAATCAGATATTCAGTGGCGTACTTGTTAGCAGTGAATGGAACCACATGTAGAACTATTTTGTTTTTGTGGAAAACTGAAAACAGAAGACTTCAAAAGCATGGGTATCATCTCAGAAACCTGGAGGGCAAACAACTGCCACCAGAAAAAGGAACTGGAATGATTAAAACTTGTGACTTCCTTTGGTTCAAAAGGAGTACCATCATTAAGATTGTTTAAATGAGTAACTGTGTCAAGACAGAGGAATCTACATTACACTTCTTTACTTTTCCTGCATGCCTTGTAAAACAGGAGATTTATCGTTTATTCATTCTTTGGATTTATATGCTGTACCTATCAATGTCTATGTATGTGTCTACATACTGCTGACATCCTCTCAGGCCTCAACACAGGTAGCTGCTGTCAGTAAAGGAACTGTCTACTTATCTAAATATTTCCTAGCCTAAAAAAAATTTAATTTTACATTGTTTCAAGATTTGGCCTGCAGTTTGGATCTATTGTTACTTCCCAACAACTTTGTCTATCACTAGTTCTCCACTGAAAGTAAGTTGAGTCATCTTGAGGATTCTTTATGTTACAAGTGTTGGATAAAAATTCTTTTTTTTTTATAAACAGCACATAAATTTGTGGATGGTTGTATTCAGTGGTATGAAAAGAATCTACTCATTGAGATGTGGGTGGTCATTATAGATAGCATGAGTAGCTTTATAAAACAAATATATAAGGCCATCTGAAACAATGCATTTTCACATAAATGAGCTTGTATAAGGATCCTGAGATGTATTTGTACTGGCTATTATATTCAAACATTAGAATAAACAAACTTCTTATAACAGGAGGTAAATCAATGAAAATTATTGTTTGGGAAGACAGGATCAGTCATAGGCTGAGGCTGAGAACTCCCAAGGATATTCCAGTCTCTAATATAGTCCGTTCTTAAGCTACTCAAGTCAACAGACTAATAAGCAGCTGTTTCTGCTGGAAAAAGATTTGTTGGCAAGCCGGACATCTGTATTCTGCAGCAGCCAAGTTTACTCAGTGTGTGGCCACAGGTGTTGACCTAAGTGCTATGAAGCCAAAGGAGGAAGACAAAAGGAATTGGCATTAATAGCTGTACTAACAGAAAGAGTCCAATATTCAAGTTACATGAAAGTAATTTTAGCTGTCGGACTACTTCTCTTCTCTGATTTGATTCAGACTATACCCTGAAGACAACAGAAGAGGGAAGGAGAAAGTACATGAGTCTTTCTTCAAAGTAAGTTAAAGGCTATGACCCTTTCATTTGGCATTCTTGAAAGCCGTAAAATCTGACAGTGAAAATGTACAATACAGACACTCCAATTCTTGTTAGCCTGATTAGTAGTCCCTTTTCTTAAACTCTATTCATGCACCAAAAGAAAGCCTCTCAAAGTATTAAAAAAGTAAAGCTGGTAATTCAAATGTCTGGGCTTATGAACAATGTGGTGATTAACCTTATAATCTATATATACTATGACTTTGTAAATAAGAAAGGATTTTAAGCGAACTTTATTTTTAAAATGTAGTTAGCAAACTGATCCAGTATATCCAGTTCTGTCATTAGGCAAAGATTCCTGATTTCAAGAGGCTAGTTGTATAGAGAGGTAGAAAAAAATATCACCATATGGCTTGAAGGTAGAGCAGCCAAGAATTCACTCCTACCTGATGGAGGATATATTTTATTGTAGCCAACCTTAATTGTAATGGAAAAACAACACAATTACCATTTAGGAATGTCAAGAGTTAAGCAATGTTGGAGCCCCAGGAGAAACCTTTGAGAGTTTTTGTTTTTTTAAGTCCATTCCAAGGTAACTAAATGATACTGAAAACTTTTTTAAATAAAAGAAATTAAATAACCTTTCTTTCTGGTGTCAAGGGATTTGGGCATGTATCTAATGCAATGACTTGACGTTGATGTGATGAAAGTGGTTTTTATCCTGCTGTCCGGCAATTACCTAGTTACACTTATTTTTGATCCACATGTTTCTGATGTGATGCTCAAACTATTTTACTTCCTATTTAAGTCAGCTAACAACTTTTAAGCATAATCATTCATATGTGTAACAATTGAAGATAAAAAAGTCTGGTCATTAAGTCCATGCCCCTGCCAGTGAAGAATATCAAGACCGCTCCAAAAAGGCCATAAAAATAAACCGAAATTCTCTCAGTGACTTTAACAGGCTGTGGATCAGGCCCACAGATACATAGATGCAGGACTTATGGAATATTAAACATATATTACACATGTTCTTTGCCAGAAGGACAAGCAGCGAAAAAGAAGCAGAATTACCTGCAGCTTTTTGTAGCGATCTTCGTGTGAGATGAATTCACCTTCCTTTTCTTTCAAGAAATCTGTTTGCAGGATACTATGCTTTTCCATCAAATCTTCTAACTCCTAACAATAGAAAAAGTTACACAGATTTTTGTTTTTATTTTTAAATGTGAAAGTACAATCTTCAGGAAGTCATTCCAAACTAGCTATACTACTGATGGTTTTACGACACCTGCTATTATGCAAAAATCCACACACTGGCAAACTACCATGCAGATCACAGACCTAGGGGATCCCTGTAACCATTATACACCCCTCTGCCAGTTGGCACAGAGGCCTCTGGGTCACACTAAGCATCTCCCAAAAATGAACAACAACATGTGTTGTATTAAATAACTGTATGTATTAACTTCTGCCTTCCATCTAACAAAATTGTGCGCTAGATTCACAGGGAATCCAAAGCACACACCCATATCCTGGGGCATTACTGAAGCCAAAATATCCCCTGGCTCAAATTAAAGAGGTGTCAGGTAAGCTGGCATTATCCCAGTATTTCTGCACCTGTTGCCTAACATGTCTCCATCTCAGTCTATGCCAGCCTGCTTCTATTGCCCTTCAAGCCTATCCCTGTCCTCCTCAGCCCTTATCACCCCTAGTCTGTCACTGTCCTTGCTTCTGTTCCTTAACACCTCCACATTCCAATAAAACTAAATTCCTCCTTCTTGTCCATACTGCCTGGGCATCAGGCAGCAAGGCATTGAGAGCACAGGAGCCAGTGTGTGCCCACTCAGTTCCAATATCCAGTGCCCTGGTACCCTCAATAGCTGGGAGAAGCAATTGCAAGGAAAGAACTGCTCAGCCCTGGGCAGTAGTGTATTCATTGTATGTGTAATTAGAAGAATTTGACTGCCAGTCTCTTACAAAGCTGTACTGAACATGATTTCCACAGAGACAGCAAAAGGCACCTGTCTGACCCCAGGGCAACCCCAATTTCAAAATGTCAAGTCCCTGTTCCAGAGCAAGCAGGTGCTAAAAAGTCTCAACAAAATGATTCTAAGTATGTTTTCACACTGGAAAGACAATACTTTTCCCTAACCAAATTCTTAGAATAAGTTGAACCATTTGTTGCTTAAATTTAAAAACAAAAAAAACAAAAAACAGCCTGAGGCAGACCCCCACATGGAAAATTTAAGTCTGAATAGCTAAAGTTTGGCAAAATTATAAGTAACTGAAAACAAGGTCTCGTAACGGAAAGTATTAAACACCTTAGCTATGGGTGCCACTGCCAGCTCCTGCTACCATTAAGTTCTGCGTGCATTGAGGAGCAGCCATACCTTTTTAATTCTACATTTTTCTTCTTCAGCATCTTTAAGTTTAATCTCTAGACTTGCAACTGTTGGTTGAAGATGCTTCTTTGATCCATTTATCCCCGGCTTCTCAGAGTCACCCACAGGGATGGTTGAATTTTCTGAAGGTTTTCCTTCCGTTAAACTCAAAGAAGGAATTGAGATATCCAAGGAAGAACTGGCTGATAACTGAACCTAATTCATAAGAGAGACAAATTATATTATTTCATCATAAATATATGACAGACATTTCGAAATTATATTTCATATAAGAGCTATGAAAACCTTACTTTCAGTATCAGAGGGGTAGCCGTGTTAGTCTGGATCTGTAAAAAGCAACAGAGTCCTGTGGCACCTTTAAGACTAACAGATGTATTGGAGCATAACTTTCATGCATCCGACGAAGTGGGCATTCGCCCACAAAAGCTTATGCTCCAATACATCTGTTAGTCTTAAAGGTGCCACAGGACCCTCTGTTGCTTTTTACTTTCAGTAGAAGATTTAAATGCCAGTTTGCCAAAACACATACATTACATGATGGTTAGCAGACCTGTGTCTGAAGCGCTACCATCAAAACATTTGCATCTAGGGTGACAAGACGTCCCGATTTTATCGGGACCGTCCCGATATTTCCTTGTTT